CAGGAGGTGGTGTTGTATTTTTATTACGAGCGGCTGATGCGCGAGTGGGGGCAGGAGCTGCGGGGGCTACGAAATCCCACGGAAAACGACCCCCCGGGTCAGCCGACGCGGGCCCCGTCCACCCACCTTCGCGAGGAGGACGTGCGGCGCATGGTGCGGTTGGTTCGAGATTCCTCCCTGCAGGTGCCGGAAGAGCTGCGCGCCCTGATCGAGGTCGTCCATGAACAGCGAAAAAAGGGAAGAAAGGCGTTGTGAGGAGGGAAAATAGGAAAAATGGGTGCACTTCCCCGCCTGGCATCTTTTCTTTGATATATGCTATCGATATGTTTATAGATAGATCGATATGCACCACCCTCGATAACGGTCTTGTGCTCAAGAGCTTGTAATGCATTGCGTATTCGCATCCAGCGAACCTGGAACCCTACTTTTTTGAAGAAGAAGAAGAAGAAATGTTTTGCCCGAACACTTTCGATACGCCTCGACGTGTCTGATGGGGATACCTATAGGATGAAAAGTGGAAATTCCTCTCCTTAATGAAGCCGAACATTATGGCAGGAAGTGTATCCTAAAGGATGAAATGCAAACAATACCAGTAGGATTGATTTGGCGTGTTCACAGGACCTATTGCGAACTGAGTCTTCCAAAAGACATTCTAGATAAAAATATGTGTGCAAAAAAAAAACGACTCTGAAAAAGATGTGTAACCCTGACAATTTTATCCATCTTGTTTATTTCATTAAATTTCTCAACAAATGAGGGGAGGGGTGGAATATCAATCCCTGTTTAGTGTCATATCTTTTATAGGCTTAGCATATCAGTAAAGCTGTGGGCAGATGCGAGTATTAATAACAACTTCCAAAAGCGCATTCCAATAAAACTAAAGAACCCCATACACAACTTATAATAATAATTAAAAAAAGCCCAGAAGGATTAGATTGCGAGTATTATATTGATTGGATTGATTTATTGACGTATTGGGATGTCGCGTTTACAGTTCAGAGGCGGGGCGTGGACGAATGCGGAGGACCAGGTGCTCAAAGCCGCCCTCGCGCAGTACGGCCTGCGGGACTGGGAGCGGGTGGCGTCGATGCTGACGAAGAAGACCGCCGCGCAGTGCCGGGAGCGCTGGGAAAGTTACCTCGACCCCCGGCTAAACCTCCACGAGGGCTGGCGCCCGGACGAGGAGGAGGAACTCGTCCAACTTCACGCCCTTTTCCCCGACCAATGGCGGCTGATTGCCGAGCAACTGACGGCGGCCACCTCGAGCCACTACCGCCGCCCCGCGTGGCTGTGCGAGCAGAAGTACCTCGAGCTCCGCGATTTGTTCGAGGTGGAGCGCCAGAAGGCCCACGCGGCCGTCGGGCCCGGCGAAAAGGCAGAAAACGACCCGCCGAACATCCAAGACTTCATCGCCGAGCGGCGCCGACGGCGGATGGGGCAGCGCGCGCACGAGGAGAAGCCCGCGAAGCCCGACACCGTCGACGGGGAGCGCTACGAGGCGGAGATGTTGACGATGGCCGTCGCGCGGCTTGCCAACCAGGACCAGAAGAAAGGACTGCGCAAAGAGCGTCAGCGCCAGCTCGCCGAGGCGAGTTTTCTGGCCAAACTCGAAAGCAACCGCGAGGCGATCGAGTCCGGGACGCTCTCCGCGCGGCAGGAAAAGCGCATGCGCAAGGCCCTCGAGGAGGATCGCCCGTCCCAGCACCCCCGGCCCGACCCCGCGGCCCCCTTTGAGCCCATCGACGTCCTGGAGGACCAGGCGCGCGCCCGGGTCGAGCGGAAGTCCCGCACGTTGTTGGTCGACCTGAGCGCCCAACAACAGCACGCCGCGCGGGCCGAGGCCGGCCGCGAGGCCGACGCGGACAGCGCCATCACCGGCGTCCAGCACCGCCTTCTCCGCCAGCTCCCGACCCAGACCCCCGCGCGCCTGACCTTCGGCGAAAACGACCGCGCCGGGCCGGCCTCGCGGGCGGAAGTCCCGCAAAAGACGCCACCCCCAACCGCCGCGGTGACGTGGGACTCGCTGGCCGCCCCGGCGGCGGCGGCCCCCCGACTTGACGGACTTCTTCGCGCACCTCGCGCGCCTCGGCGAGGACCCCCCCCCTGACGCCCTT